CAAGCCCCTGTGAACACTCTGTGTGCCTATCATCAGTATTTAAGACACGTCTGCTTATCCTCACTGTCACCTGTCTGTTCACAAGAAAAAGTATCTAAGAGCTTTCCCTTTATTTGAAAGTCAAACGTATTTCAGTATCTTTGCCACATCACAGTTTTACTTAAAGACTTCATTCCCCAAAGCCAAAATGACAAACTCCACAGCTTAGAGTAATTTATTAAAATGTAAAGCCTCCGTTTAAATGAAGAAAGCTGTTAGGGGATCCTGTAGTCCATGAGTTGAAGACAATGATTTATTCTACAGGGATAATACTGATCATTTAAAATGTTCCTTCTTTGCCTTTAATGGATAGTAACTGGAATTACTATTTGGAATTTCTTCCAAAGTCTATTTCTGCTCTTTGGTGAATCACATAGCAGATATAAACCCCTCTTCCCCAAAGGAAAAAAGAAAAAAAAAAAAGCTCCAAGAATCATTGATCCAGGCTTGAAGCCAAGCAATCTATATTTAGTGCTTTCTCAACAAGCCACATAATAAAAATGTAAATGGAATGGTGCTACTTTCTCCTCTCACCTTTTTTCAGTGTGTAACTTTGATGCTGTTTAAATTATTTATTTTCAGACTATCTTCAAAGAACTTAGTTCATCCCGTGTAGGGGCCTTACTATCCCAATTTCACATTAATCATAATTCCATGATTCTTATTGCTTTACAATACTTGACTTTCATAAAAATGTAAGGATAAACCTGAGGTACCCTCCTACTCTGGGTTGCTGAATTTGCACAGAGTCAATGGGTCTCATCTAAGTCCTTTCTCCCCCAATTTATTGGGATATACCTGATATATAAGGTCATGTAAGTTGAAGGTGTACAGTGTGTTGATTTGATACACATACATTGCAATATGATTACCACTGTAGTGTTAGCTAACAACTCCATCACATCATATAATTACCTTTTTGTTGTTGTAAGAACATTTCAGATCTAACCTCTCAGAGACTTTCAAGTATGTAGTACAGTATTGTTATCTGTAATCATAATGCTATCCATAGATCCCCGGAAGGAATTCATCTTCTAGTTGGCAGTTTGTACCCTTTGACCAGCATCTCTTCATTTCTCCTGCCTCCCACCCTTAGTAACCACCACTGTACTCTGTTTCCATGAGCTCGGCTTTTCTAGATTCCATATGTAAGTCATATCATATAGTATTTGTCTTTCTCTGCCTGACTTATTTCACTTAGTATTGTGCACTCAAGAGCCATTCACGTTGTCACAAATGACAGGATTTTGTTATTTCTCGTGATTGAGTAATACTCGATATCTTCTTTTTTAAATTTATTTTTTATTTTAACATCTTTATTGGAGTATAATTGCTTTACAATGCTGTGTTAGTTTCTGCTTTATAACAAAGTGAATCAGTTATACATATACATATATCCCCATATGTCCCCCCTCTTGCGCCTCCCTCCCACCCTCCCTAGCCCACCCCTCTAGGTGGTCACAAAGCACTGAGCTGATTGCCCTGTGCTATATGGCTGCTTCCCACTAGCTATCTATTCTACATTTGGTAGTGTATATATGTCCATGCCACTCTCTCACTTTGTCCAAGCTTCCCCTTCCCCCTCCCTGTGTCCTCAAGTCTATTCTCTGCATCTGCATCTTTATTCCTGCCCTGCCCCTAGGTTCTTCAGAACCCTTTTTTTTAGATTCCATATATATGTGTTAGCATACGGTATTTGTTTTTCTCTTTCTGACTTAATTCACTCTGTATGACAGTCTCTAGGTCCATCCACCTCACTACAAATAACTCAGCTTTGTTTCTTTCTATGACTAAGTAATGTTCCATTGTATGTATGTGCCACATCTTCTTTGTCCATTCATCTGTCGATGGACACTTAGGTTGTTTCCATTACCTGGCTATTGTAAATAGTGCTGCAGTGAACATTGGGGTGCATGTGTCTTTTTGAATTATGGTTTTTTCAGGGTATCTGCCCAGTATTGGTATTGCTGGGTCATATGGTAGTTCTATTTTTAGTTTTTTAAGAAACCTCCATACTGTTCTCCATAGTGGCTGTATCAATTTACATTCCCACTAACAGTGCAAGAGGGTTCCCTTTTCTCCACACCCTTTCCAGGATTTACTGTTTGTAGATTTTTTGATGATGCCCATTCTGACTAGTGGTACCTCACTGTAGTTTTGATTTGCATTTCTCTAGTGATTAGTGATGTTGAGCATCCTTTCATGTGTTTGTTGGCAATCTGTATATTTTCTTTGGAAAAAGTCGATTTAGGTCTTCTGCCCATTTTTAGATTGGATTGTTTGTTTTTTTCATATTGAACTGCATGAGCTTCTTGTAAATTTTGGAGATTAATCCTCTGTCAGTTGCTTCATTTGCAAATACTTTCTCCCATTTTGAGTGTTGTCTTTTCATCTTGTTTATATTTTCCTTTGCTGTGCAAAAGCTTTGAAGTTTCATTAGATCCCATTTGTTTGTTTTTGTTTGTATTTCCATTTCTCTAGGAGGTGGGTCAAAAAGGATCTTGCTGTGATTTATGTCAAAGACTGTTCTTCCTATGTTTTCCTCTAAGAGTTTCATAGTGTCCAGTCTTACCTTTAGGTCTTTAATCCATCTTGAGTTTATTTTTGTGTATGGTGTTAGAGAATGTTCTAATTTCATTCTTTTGCATGTAGCTGTCCAGTTTTCCCAGCACCACTTACTGAAGAGGCTGCCTTTTCTCCATTGTATATTCTTGCCTCCTTTATCAAAAATAAGATGACCATGTGTGTGTGGGTTTATCTCTGGGCTTTCTATCCTGTTCCATTGATCTATTTTTCTGTTTCTGTGCCAGTACCATACTGTCTTGATTACTGTAGCTTTGTAGTATAGTCTGAAGTCAGGGAGCCTGATTCCTCCAGCTCCGTTTTCTTTCTCAAGATTGCTTTGGCTATTGGGGGTCTTCTGTGTTTCCATACAAGTTGTGAGATTTTTTGTTCTAGTTCTGTGAAAAATGTCATTGGCAGTTAGATAGGGATTACATTGAATCTGTAGATTGCTTTGGATAGTATAGTCATTTTCACAATGTCGATTCTTGCAACCCAAGAACATGGTATATCTCTCCATCTGTTTGTATCGTCTTTAATTTCTTTCATCAGTGTCTTATAGTTTTCTGCATACAGGTCTTTTGTCTCCTTAGGTAGGTTTATTCCTAGGTATTTTATTCTTTTTGTTGCAACAGTAAATGGGAGTGTTTCCTTAATTTCTCTTTCAGATTTTGCATCATTAGTGTATAGGAATGCAAGAGATTTCTGTGTATTAATTTTGTATCCTGCTACTTTACCAAATTCATTGATTAGCTCTAATAGTTTTCTGCTAGCATCTTTAGATTCTCTATGTATAGTATCATGTCACCTGCAAACAGTGACAGTTTTACTTCTTTTCTGATTTGGATTCCTTTTATTTATTTTTCTTCTCTGATTGCTGTGACTAAAATTTCCAAAGCTGTGTTAAATAAAAGTGGTGAGAGTGAGCATCCTTGTTTGTTCCTGATTTTAGAGGAAATGGTTTTAGTTTTTCACCATTGAGAACGATGTTGGCTATGGGTTTGTCATATATGGCCTTTAATATGTTTGGGTAAGCTCCCTCTTGCCTACTTTCTGGAGGGTTTTTATCATAAATGGGGGTTGAATTTTGTCAAAAACTTTTCCTGCATGTATTGAGATTACCATATGGTTTTTATCCTTCAGTTTGTTAATATGGTGTATCACATTGATTGATTTGCATATATTGAAGAATCCTTGCATTCCTGAGATAAACCTCACTTGATCATGTGGTATGATCCTTTTAATGTGCTGTTGGATTCTGTTTGCTTGTATTTTATTAAGGATTTTTGCAGCTATGTTCATAAATGAAAATGGCCTGTATTTTTCTTTTTTTGTGACATCTTTGTCTGGTTTTGGTATCAGGGTGATGGTGGCCTCATAGAATGAGTTTGGGAGTGTTCCTCCCTCTACTATATTTTGGAAGAGTTTGAGAAGGATAGGTGTTAGCTCTTCTCTAAATGTTTGATAGAATTCGCCTGTGAAGCCATCTGGTCCTGGGCTTTTGTTTGTTGGAAGATTTTAAATCACAGTTTCAATTTCAGTGCTTGTCATCGGTCTCTTTTTATTTTCTATTTCTTCCTGGTTCAGTCTGGGAAGGTTGTGCTTTTCTAAGAATTTCTCGATTTCTTTCATATTGTCCATTTTATTGGCATAAAGTTGCTTGTAGTAATCTCTCATGATTCTTTGTATTTCTGCAGTGTCAGTTGTTACTTCTCTTTTTTCATTTCTAATTCTGTTGATTTGAGTCTTCTCCCTTTTTTTCTTGATGAGTCTGACTTGTGGTTTATCAATTTTGTTTATCTTCTCAAAGAACCAGCCTTTAGTTTTATTGATCTTTGCTATCATTTCCTTCATTTCTTTTTCATTTATTTCTGATCTGATCTTTATGATTTCTTTCCTTCTGCTAACTTTGGGGGATTTTTGTTCTTCTTTCTCTGATTGCTTTAGGTGTAAGGTTAGGTTGTTTATTTGAGATGTTTCTTGTTTCTTGAGGTAGGATTGTATTGCTGTAAACTTCCCTCTTAGAACTGCTTTTGCTGCTCCCATAGGTTTTGGGTCGTCGTGTTTTCATTGTCATTTGTTTCTAGGTTTGTTTTTATTTCCTCTTTGAATTCTTCAGTGATCTCTTGGTTATTTAGTAGTGTATTGTTTAGCCTCCATGTGTTTGTATTTTACAGATTTTTTCCTGTAATTGATATCTAGTCTTATAGCGTTGTGGTTGGAAAAGATACTTGATACGATTTCAATTTTCTTAAATTTACCAAGGGTTGATTTGTGACGCAAGATATGATCTATTCTTGAGAATGTTCCAAGAGCACTTGAAAAGAAAGTGTATTCTGTTGTTTTTGGATGGAATGTCCTATAAATATCAATTAAGTCCATTTTGTTTAATGTGTCATAAAAGTATGGAACACTTCACAAGTTTGTGTGTCATCCTCACATAGGGGCCATGCTAATCTCTTCTGTATTGGTCCAGTTTTAGCACATGTGCTGCCGAAGCAAGCACTCCATATCTTCTTTATCCATTCTTCCACTGGTGGACACTTAGGCTGCTTCCCTATGTTGGCTGTTGTGAATAATGATGCAGTGAACATGCAAGACCAGTTCTTTATAGTTTATGCATTCTTTTTCCATGTACAGCTTGTTTCCACCAGCCTCCTCCTAGGGTAGATAATTTAACTTGCTGGAACACCACTAGACCATAAATTCCTTATGAACACGGATCTATGAACCGTCCATCTGCCTAGAGACTAACACAGTGCATAAAGCATAATGATAGATAGCATTTATAAAATGCTGACTGTATGTCAGGCACTATTTACACTCTTTACATGCATTAATTTATTTAATCTTCAGAATTTAATGAAATAAGTATTACTATTATCTTTACTTTACAGTTGAGTTAACGTGAAGTTAATCTGAAATACAAATATGATTTGGCCAAACCCATACAACAAGTATGTAAGGTAACAAAAATCTGAACCTAGGCAGCTCTTGAGTTCTACCTTATAGTATCAACTAGTGGAGTTAAGAATTCAGTGCATGTGTGTAGAATTAAATAAACTCCTCTGGAACCTAATAGAATTTCTTTAAAAAATGTAGATAATGCAGATGGGATGAAAACAAAAGTGAAAGAGAAAAGTGTAGAATAAGGAAGTTGGAGAGTAACATCAAAGAAAGAATAGGGGATAAAAAACAGTGAAGAAGGAAATTAGCCCAAGTGCAGGATTTCATGGTGCAAATAGGAGAAAATAATTAAAAGAGCCTGCTTGAGGTGAGGGGGGAAGGAATATTGGAAGAAGAGAATATTGAACAGAAAAAGCCTGTGAAAACATTATTGGTGGGCTGGGAAGAGTATCACACATTGAAAATTTTAAATAAAAAAACTTTATTTTTAAATAGATACGCACTTGTGGTTAGATTATTTCTTCCTGTGTTACATTCACCCTAATCTCTCAGCCTCCCAATCGTGGTCCCATGTGAATCAAACAAGACATGTGTTCAGGTGAGAGGCTAGGAGAATTATTTCACTGGACTACAGCTGTTGATGCTTTTTTACTATCCACTGAGTCTTTATATTGTACAAAATCAGAAAAGGAAATGTCCGCTAAGGATCCTTTTTGGTGCAGAAATACACTGTCAATCCTCTCCTTGAATACCTTTCCCAGACTCTGTCTCATTACCAGTTTTCCCTTCCCAGTAAATAATCTACCCTAATTATTTCTAACCAGTTTTTGTAGAGATTAGTTGGCCTGACAGATGGTGGGAAAGCCCTGGTTATCCTTCTTGTTGTGTGTTGTCTTAGCTTCCTGGACATACCCAGTTCACAACTCATATTCATTCAACACATTTTTGCCCTCTTACATGCTCGTATCACCCACTGACACTAACACCCTTCCAAGGGAGGGGAGAGTGCTATTCTAAATTGACTAAAGTAGATTTGGAAGTGTCCCACCCCACCCCCAACTTCTTTTTCTCCTCTGTTTCTTTCTTTTAGATAATTTGAGACTTTGTGATGCCTTTTTCCCCTTCTCTGGTTTTAGAAGTTATATATTCTGTTTCATTTCACCTAATGGTTGTCCATTATTTTTAACTTATAAACTTGATTTAACAGAGTTCAGTGTGGATCAGTATCTCAGCCCTTTTCCAGAACAGTACAAAGATTTGGAACTCTTTACCTCCTATCGTGCCCTCCTGACATTCATTATTTTTTTCCAGGCTTTGATATCCACCTTATGTTTATACTTTCCAAATTTATGCATTGTTATTTTTGTTTTAAAAGTCGTACCTGTTAAGTTTTACCTGCATATGATTAGCAAATGCTTTTCCCATTATCTCCTTCTAAATTCAGTCCTTCCTATTGTATCAATTTTCATCTGCTTGAGATACATCCTTTAGTAGTTCTTCCACCAAGCAAATCCCATTAGAGACCTCTCTCAGTCTGTTTCTGAACATGTTTTTAATCTTTGTTTAATACCAAATGATATAAGATATAGTTATTTGCTAGTTTTCCCCCAATTTATAATTATATTTTTTGTGAAAATCTCCAGATGAGAATTAAGAACCATTAAAACAGAGTGATATTCTGAAAAGAAGCCCTGAATTTCAAATGTTGGAAGAAAGCCATTATTTCAAGGTTAAAACCTAATATAAATTATCTTAAAATTAGAAAAAAAGAATAGTGTTTAACTCAGTAGCCTTTCAGAATAAGGCATTTAATTAGAAATCATGGCATTATCATGGAGGTCAAACAGTAGAGTACTGAAAGTTAATATTGAAAATTGTATTTAAAGCAGAGTAGAGAGATGACACTGAACATTCTCATTACGTCTAGTACCAAATGGTGTTGAAAAAAGTAGATTGAAGTTTGAATACAAGTCCATAGTTTGTAATAGCAACAAGTACAGTGTCCATATGGTGGTTTGCAGCTGAAGCACACAAATTTAAATGGGACTATTTGAAAAATCATTCACACATATGTTTTACTTTTTAAATTTTTATTTTATGTTGGGATAGAGTTGATTTACAATGTTGTGGTAGTTTCAGGTGTACAGCAAAATGATTCAGGTTTACATATACATATATGTGTGCTTACATATAGATACATTTATCTATTCTTTTTCATATTCTTTTCCCAGCTAGCTTATTACAGAATATTGAGTAGAATTCCCTGCACTATATAGTCGGTCCTTGCTGTTTACCTATTTTATTTTGAGTGGCATGTGGATGTTAATCCCAAACTCCTAATTTAGCCCTCTCCCCACACCTTTCCCCTTTGGTAACCATAAGTTTGTTTTCTGTATCTGTGAGTCTGTTTCTGTTTTGTAAATATGTTCATTTGTATCTTTTTAAGATTTCACATATAAGTGATATCATATAATATTTGTCTTTCTCTGTTTGACTTCACTTAGTATGATAATCTCTAGGTCCATCCATGTTGCTGCAAATAGCATTAGTTCATTATTTTTTATGGTTGAGTAATATTCCATTGCATATAAACACCACATCTTCTCTATGCATTCATCTCTCAATGGACATTGAGGTTGTTTCAATGTCTTCACTATTGTAATTAGTGCTGCAATGAACATTGGGGTACATGTATCTTTTTGAATTATGGTTTTCTCTGGATATGTGCCTAGGAGTGGGATTGCTGTGTCATATGGTGGTTCTATTATTAGGTTTTTAAGCAACTTCCATACTGTTCTCCATAGTGGTTGCACCAATTTACATTCCCACCAACAGTGCAGGAGGGTTCCCTTTTCTCCACACTCTCTCCAGCATTTACTGTTTGTAGACATTTTGATGATGGCCGTTCTGACCAGTGTGAGGTGATACTTCATTGTAATTTTGATTTGCATTTTTCTAGTAATTAGTGATGTTGAGCATATTTTTATGTGCCTTTTGACCATCTGTATATCTTCTTTGGAAAAGTGTCTACTTATATCTTCTGCCCATTTTTGATTAGGTTGTTTGCTTTTGTGATATTGAGTTGCATGACTTGCTTGTGTATTTTGGAGATTAATCCCTTGTCAATCACATCATTTGCAAATACTTTCTCCCATCCTGTAGGTTGTCTTTTTGTTTTGTTTATGGTTTCCTTTGCTGTGCAGAAGATTTTAAGTTTAATTAGGTCCCATTTGTTTGTTTTTATTTTCATTACTCCAGGAGGTGGATTCAAAAAGATGTTGCTATGATTTATGTCAAACAGTGTTCTCCCTATGTTTTCCTCTAAGAGTTTTATAGTATCTGGTCTTAACATTTAGGCCTTTAATCCATTTTGAGTTTATTTCTGAGTATGGTGTTAGAGAATGTTCTATGTCATTCTTTTACATGTAGCTGTCCAGTTTTCCCAGCACCATTATTGAAGTGACTGTCTTTTCTCCATTGTATATTCTTGCCCCCTTTGTCATAGATGAATTGACCATAGGTGCGTGTGTTTATTTCTGGGCTTTCCTGTTCCGTTGGTCTATAAGTCTGTCTTTGTGCCAGTACCATACTCTTGTGATTACTGTAGCTTTATAGTGTAGTCTGAAGTCAGGGGCTTGATTCCTCCAGCTCCGTTTTGCTTTCTCCAGATTGCTTTGCTATTTGGGGTCTTTTGTGTTTCCACACAAATTCTGATTTTTGTTCTAGATCTGCAAAAAGTACCATTGGTAATTTGATAGGATTTGCATTGAATCTGTAGATTGCTTCACATAGTATAGTCATATTGACAATATTGATTCTTCCAATCCAAGAACATAGTATATTTTTCCACCTCTTTGTGTCATCTTTGATTTTTTTCATCAGTGTCTTACAGTTTTTGGACTACAGGTCTTTTGCTTCCTTAGGTATGTTTATTCCTAGGTATTTAATGCTTTTTGATATGATGGTAAATGGGATTGTTTCCTTAATTTCTCCTTATGATCTTTTGTTGATAGTATATAGAAATGCAACAGATTACTGTGTATAAATTTTGTATCCTGCAACTTTACAAATTCATTGATGTTCCAACATCAATTCATTCATAGTAGTTTTCTGGTAGCATCTTTAGAATTTTCTAGAATTTTATGTATAGTATCATATCATCTGCAAACAGTGAAATTTTACTTGCACTTTTCCAATTGGATTCCTTTTATTTCTTTTACTTCTCTGATTGCCATCTCTAGAACTTTCAAAACTATGTTGAATAAAAGTGGTGAGAGTGGACATCCTTGACTTTTTCCTGATCTTAGAGGAAATGCTTTCAGCTTTTCACTGTACAGTATGATGTTGGCTGTGGGTTTGTCATATATGGCCTTTATTATGTTGAGGTAGGTTCCCTCTATGCCCACTTTCTGAAGATTTTTTATCATAAATTGGTGTTGACTTTTGTCAAAAGTTTTTCTGCATCTACTGAGATGATCATATAGTTTTTATTCTTCAATTTGTTAATGTGTTGTATCACACTGATTGATTTGCAGATATTGAAAAGTCCTTGCATCCGTGGGATAAATCCCTCTTGATCATGGTGTATGATCCTTTTAA